CCAAACTATCCCATGATTCTATGATTTTAAGTGTTACAACTATGAAGTTTACTTTAGTATCTTGAAGCCATCTCATCACAGTTATGTATCACCTTCTTAAAAGCACCTCAAGCAATTAAGACCACCCTTTTTTCCGCCTATAAAGTCATAACATTAGAAAAAATAGGGGATTTTTTTTGTTGGTTTGGGTTTGTTTGCTTTTCTTTTACACACCTTGTGTCCCAGCCACGTTCCATGGTGACCCTCAACTGGAAGGCGCTCTGCATCCCCAGTCAGGTCAGTCAGGGCATCCTGGAAGAAAAGCAGTCACCACGCTTCAGGTCATTTTTAAACACCACGGGCGAGTCCGCAAGGCCTCAGACTCTCCTGAAAGTCTGCCCGGGTCATATACGAGGCCACGGCACTTACTTTTGGAGACAGGGTTCCTCGGATACTAATGACCACTTTCTTCTTCTCATGGTCCACAGCCACATAGAAAGGCGTTTCATAAACCTGGAAAAGATCCATGGCTGTAACCATCAGGCGAGACATTCCTGTTTAATTATCCTCCTGCTCAGGGAGAAGGAGGCAGAGCAGCCTGATGGGTTATGCCTTATGGGTAAGCACTCCTCTGAAGGATCAGCAGCAAGTATTTCTGTCCAAATGGCAGAATTCCTTGATGGAACGATAGGATGGGAAGCTCTAGGGTCAGAAAAAAAGGCTTACGTTTCCTTTTGTGTACCACTACACCTGAAAGCACATAAATCCCATTAGGAAGCGCCTTAGGAGCGTGCCCCAAATATGAAGGGGGTTGCAGATTCTCCTTACTGCATCGTGGCAAGATGTGTAAACAATGTCCACCGAAGTCATATTCTCATCCAAGAAGTGGCGCCGGATGGCGATGGCATTGCAGCCACAGCAATTATCCTCTTCGATGGTGACACTAGGTGCATAGCGGGGACGGGAAGGACAGAGACAGCAACACCTGCAGGAGAAAAGAAACAGCTTTGAGGAAAAGAGGAACGTGGAAGAGTGGCTTTGGAGTGGAACGCCGGGAGAGAAGGGAAAGACGGACCCTGCGTGCCACGCTGGCCTCAACAGGAGTGATTTCCTACACTTGTAGGAGCTCTTGCACTGAATTCATGTTTCAGCATCAAAAAGGGGCACTGGGATCAGCTGTAGTTGTATTTCCAAGCACCAGAGAGAGCTCCAGTGCAAGCAGTCCCCAAGGAATCGATGCACGGCGGGGCTGAGATCGCTCCTCTACGGATACTGTGCTTCACAGCACCGTCCTCCGCTGCTCCAACGCACAGAGCAGCTAGCATTTACTGATCTATTTATAACCAAAAAAACCCAGGTCTGGAGTCGTTCCAAAACAAAACCAGAAGCTCAGATATTTATTTTCTGTTTTCGTTTATGAGGCACTTCACAAATTAAAGTCCTCAAAAGGATGGATAATCCTCCTCGTTAAGTTCAGCACAGAAGTTGCCTGTATGAACGCAAAAAGCTCAGCCCCAAAGAGAATTTGTTAACAGCGTTATGGCAGCTGAAAGCATACGCTTCAAACATAATCCTGAGCTGAACTATAGCATTGCTACTGTGAGGTGAGCACTATACAGCACGGCAGAAAAACAATTAGCCAGGAGGAACGCTGCACAAACTCTGGCCAAGCCTTGCCAGTGCTTCAATAAAGCCCCAAATGTCAGCTCCCTGCGTAGCTGGGCTTGCTGATAAATCTGATTTCTGAGCTCCATGACAGCTATTTTGACTCTGTGTGAAAGCTGTTTTGTGCCAGAGGAGTTCTTCCTGCTGGCTGTTCAAACGGCACAGGACTGGCATGACCCTTGGTGCAGCGGAGAGGACAGAGCACAGGGCAGTCTGGTTTGTGTTACAAGATAAGCGACTCTAAGGAAGAGACTGATAAGACAGACGTTGGAGTATGAAGGCTCAAAGTCACTGAGAGGAAAAGCAGAAGGGAAAAGAGGGGAAAAGCAGAAGAGAAAAGGAGGAAGAATAAATAGAGGGGTGATGAAGAGAGCAAACTGATGAAAGAGAATTCTAAATCTGGGGGAAACAGAAGGGAAAAGGGAAGGAGGCAGTGGTAGACAGGATGGATGGCCACTCACGAGCAGGATCTGGCCAGGCGACAGAGTCCACACGTGGGCTTCCTCATCAGGTATATGGGCCAGCCGTAGGCAGCCAGGGCAAACAGCATGTAGTAACACACCTCCTTGTACCGCTGCATCTCTTGCTGAAAGAGACAACAGACATGCTAAAGGCCTTCTCATTTAGATAGTGAGTTTCTCATAGTATTTCCCTTTTTCCATCACAGTTAGATGCACGCAGCCTTCTTTCCCAGCACTACCAGAATAGCACTGTCAGCGTTTCCAGGTGACTGCAGGAGAGCAAGCTGGTTATGCTGGGCAAGATCTTCCCCCTCCCAGGAACAGCTCAGTATAGCCATGCCCTATTTTTGAGTGGAGGGGTCCCATTAGCGGTTCAACAAACCAGAAGTTAGTTCTAAAGAGATTCTGCTCTGTATCTAACACCCTGCTGCAAGGGAAGGTCATCCTCTGGGGGTTTTGCCCAACCCCAGCTGAGGAGATAAACCAGTTCAAGAATCATAGAATGGTTTGGGTTGGAAGGGACCTCAAAGATCATCTAGTTCCAACCCCCCTGCCATGGGCAGGGACACCTTCCACTAGATCAGGTTGCTCCAAGCCTCATCCAGCCTGGTCTTGAACACTTCCAGGGATGGGCCATCCACAGCTTCTCTGGGCAACCTCTCCCAGTGCCTCACCACCCTCTCTGGGAAGAATTCCTTCCTAATATCTAATCTAAACCTCCCTGATTTCAATTTGTACCCATTGCCCCTTGTCCTATCACTACAGGCCCTTGTAAAAAGTCCGCTCCCAGCACCCTTGTAGGCCCCCTTCAGATACTGGAAAGCTGCAATGAGGTCTCCTCGGAGCCTCCTCTTCTCCAGGCTGATCAAGCCCAATTCTTGCAGCCTTTCATCATAGCAGAGGTGCTCCAGCCCTCTGATCATCTTCGTGGCCTCCTCTGGACTTGCTCCAAGTGGTCAATATCCTTCTGATATTGAGGGCTCCACAGCTGGACGCAGCACTCCAGGTGGGGTCTCACCAGAGCAGAGTACAGGGGCAGAATCACCTGATCCCAAGAAGATGAGCTCGCTAAATATACTGCTTTCACGGTCAGAGGCCGTAAGGAAGATGCCCAGAGAGGATCATAAAGCCAGTCAGGGGCCACGTGCCTCAGTGCTGTCTTCTGCAAGTTCTGCTGACATCTCTCCCCACACCCCTGTTCAGGAGAGAGGCTGAACACGAGCGGGATGCGAGCAGTGCACACGAGCAGCTCGGCTTGCCGGTTAATCACAGCAGCGCTGAGCAGGGAGGCTGGGATCGGGTCAGTCTCACCTCTCGGGTGGCAGTACCTAATCAAGGGGAGTGAATACAGTTTGCCCAGCAAAGGGCTGCAAGAGCAGCACGCCAGGAGAAAAGCCAAGCTTAACCCACACAGAGCAGTCACCAGGCGTTTCCATCCTGAGAACTGCTAACACCAGCCCCAGGAAGGCTTCGTCTCACTCCAGGCAGCTCCCTGCCCTTATCAAGACAGAGACCTGTCTGCTTTACAGAGCTCTGCACAACACTCCTGGATGCAGCGCTCCACCTGCGCCTCCGGCTTTGGAGAAACCTCACACTGCCTGTCCCCATCCAAGTGGAAATACCACTACTTCCCGTAAAGTGGGGGACAGACAGCAAACGTTGCTGTTAAACGCCGTTGCATTAATCTTTAATGGTTGTGATCATTCCAGGGAGGGGCAGAAAGGAATAAGAGGAGCCACAGAGAAAGAAACCAGGCAACATGGGGAAGCGTGGGGAGTTTGCAAAATCACAGTCCAGTGACTTACCGCGTTTTTCAGATCCAGATACTTTGTGTTCCTGGTCACCGGCATCCCAGACAGAAAAGCTAAAATGTCATTGTTTGCCTGTAGGTCACAAACACACACGAAAATTCTCTGTGACACCAAGACAAAAATCTATGCCTGAGAAACAGAAAGCGGTACAAAACCTGGGACAAGGTACTTCCAAGGATCCCAACCACTCCCTTCACCTCCTTCCAACTGTGCTGTTCTCATCTTTGCCTGATCTCAGTGCTCTCTCAACCCTGCTGCTGGAGGAAAACCAGCCTCAAACAACTTCCTACCATGCTACGTGCCAGTAATGCCTTGGGAATTTAGGAATTTTTCCCCTAAAGTTCCTCCTGCAGCTTTACCCAGATGCTGGAATCTTCTCCACATCTTGAGAGGAGGAGAAGTCTCCCCATTCACCCTAAGTACCTACCACCTCCTTCAAGGCAGTTGGCCATTTGGGGTCAAGAGCTAAATTGCCTGCTGCCTAGGATTCACAAGCCTGACTCTGTGTCAGCTGGGCCCTTTGGGAGACTCGGAAAGCTGCTGAAGGAGTTAGTCTTTTTATTTTACAGCTCTGTGACTGGCAATAGCTCATCACAGCACAAGAACAAGGTGGGAAGAGGCATGAATTCTCACACAGCAAGTCACAAGAGCCAAGTAAGTCAGAGGCCAAGCGAGACGCCCGCTGCCACCGTGCCCCGCGCCGTGCTGCCCTCCACCCACCTCATCCAGCACAGCGCTGCGCTTTGCCCGCTGCCGCTGGCGCAGAAGAACCAGGCCTGCGATGATGTCAGACGGGACGATGTCAAGGTCTCGGAAGAACTCGGCGAAAAGGTAGGCGATTTCCGAGTAGGCGTCCTGCAAAACCCAGGGAGAGAAGAGTTTAGGAGGAGGAGTTTGGGTGTGGGGAGCCTCAAAACGGGACACGGAATGAGAACCAATGCGGCAGCAATGGCCTCATTTCTGTAGCTCTCTCTCCAAAACATCCACGAGATTCCTTCAGGGAACACCGTATCTGGTCTAATCAAATTAATCTCATTTAATTTTACATAGTCACACTCTGAGGCCTCAGCTGAGACTGAATTTGTACTACACTGGGCGCTTATGTGTGGGCAAACAGACCACCTTAACGTCAAAACACACACAAAGGGAGAGAAAGGAAATGTTTTCATCTCTACATGGTAAATAAGACAGAGGAAGTAAGATGAGAGCCAATTCCCAATCCAGTGTCATCTCAGAGTCATCCTTTCTCCTCAAAAGCCATTTCATTTGAACCAAGACTATTCAGGAAAAAAAAGCAGCCACACTGATTTTGTCCTATTTAACAGCCTCTTCAATTCTGTAACTCTCCTGGGATCATTTTGCCCATACTTAACCCAGACTTCGCCATCCCAGGCACCTCAGAACGTCAGTTTTCGAAACCTGCCACTGAACAGCCTCTGTAGCTGCTCATTGTTCACCACCACGCTCTCTGCTACGAGATTTCAAAGAGTTAATCACAAGTGGGTGTTACACAGGGCAGCTCTTGGTACCAAAGGAGCTGACCAAGTTACCAGGGTTTTCTGGGTTTATCTTTGACTACAGCCAAGCAAAAGGGCCTGGAAAGGGAAACCTGGGAAAAGTTTGGAGTCATTAAATGCAGAGTTCCCAGAAGAGGTGACCAAACCCAAAAAGGAGGACACCACAGGTGGGACAGAAGTGAAATGACCTCAGAGGGTCAAGCAAAGGCTCTGAAACAGAGCGACAAAGCTATTTTGAGGAGAAATGTTGTTTTCCCTTTTGCTCTGTACTACAAAACAGAAATGTTGTTTTCCCTTTTGCTCTACAAAAACCCCAAGATATTAAAGGAGAACGATACGGGAGGTTGGAGATGGCCTGGAGGGTGAGACAATACTGATCCAGCACAGACCAGCAAGATTAAAAACAAGGGTGACCCAGAGGTTGGACCAACAAAAGGTGGGACTGAGTAAGCACCACAGTACACAAACGGCCAGTATTTTGACTCCTGCCATCACCAAACCTGCCCCACCAAGGTCTGTCACAGCCTTATCCTGAACTTTCAGCCTGTATTTTCAGGGCATCCTTCACTCAGCACCTCGAGCCATGTGGCCGAAGTCTTGTCGGCGGAAAGCCTGAGCCGTGCACTTGAAGAGAAGCTGCCCTTCAGGGCAGGATCTCTCCATCCCTCTTCTTTGACAGGCAAGAAAGTAAATCCCTTCTCTCCCCAGCAGTCTTGCAGGAAATGACCTACATTCTTTTATCTCTGACAAACTCCTGGAGTACAAGATTACTTTTTATCATTTTTCACTTCTCTACAAAAGCAAGTTAAATCACCATTAAGGATGGGGCTTCAGGTGCCAACCGTGCAGGTTTCCATGCCAGCTGTGCCTTTGAAGAGCAAATGGACTGGCATTAACCTCTCCAACATTACAACTGCAGTATCCTTGAAGTACTGACCCCATAAATCTGAGCAGTGTTCCTATAAGCACACAAAAAAATGCAGATAGCCTCCAAGCAAAATATGACGAACACCCAATTAACTCAAAGTAACAGCAACACCCCTTAATACTCTGAGCAAAGTAAAAGGCCGTAAGGGAAGTTTGACATGAAGGTTTTGTACAAAGGAAGAATTTTTGCTGGTGCAAACCTGATATTATCATAGAATCATGGAA